CTACCTACCTACCTACCTACCTACCTACCTACCTACCTACCTACCAACTGATCATCTTGATAATTTTATGTTGTTTATCTAGAGAAATCAATATCAATCAATAAAACCAACCTATCAACCAAAAGTTACTAAAATTTATCTAATGTAAAATAATGTTATTCTTTCCTGTTTGATGCTATCATGTATCACCAGGTTTGCACTCTAAACAACAGTTTCATTAGATTAAAATATAATCATAGAAAAAGTGAAGAACTTAAGAATAACTATTTCATAAGTGCCCGGCGTTGCCCGTGTGGAATTTCAAAAATCATCCAGCACTCTGTGTCCAGACGGTTAATCGGAGTACACTTTTTTTCTCTAAGTGTTACTTGTGGTTTAACTAGGGTTTAAGGAAATGAACCGAAATTTTTCCTTTTTAAGTATTTTTGATCTTGGGCTGACATTGGTAATTTTTCCAGGATCCTTCTTAATACAATATTCAGCTTAATCAGGCATTTTATTTTAAAATATTTAAACTTTTTTTGGAACTAGTTTTAAGTTTAGTTTGAGACTATTTTGGGATTAATTTCATGACTAGCTTTAAGACTTGTTTTGGAAATTTGGAAATTTGTGATTATTTTGAGGAATAATTTTAGGACTTTTTTTGAAATATGTTTGGAACTAATTTTTTAAATTAGATTCGGGACAAAAATAATTGGGTCTTTGCTACAAAATCTGATTTTCTTTTCCATATTCTTTTGCCACTCAATAAATAAATTCTAGATTTTTGAAAAAAAAATCTATATTTTTGATTTGATTGAGTTTATATATCCCTGGTGGTGTGTTCTGTAGTATTGTAGGGAAGAGTATACTGCGGTTCTACAAATATTTAATACTTTGCACCATTCTTTGTTTACAGGTATACCTCGGGGGCATCGTTTCTACTGGGATTTAAAGGGACTGTGAGCCCAATTTCAAGTAAAGTGACTCTTGGGCCTCCACGCCCTATTCGCATTACACTTCCACATTACTGATAAGATAAAGGTTTCAATTGTGAATCGGGCATTGCCATCTTTGAAACGAGAAGGGTCACTTGAAATTGCGCGTGCAATCCCTTTAAGGGGTTTCGTATAGAAGTTCTTACAATCCAAAATTTTATGCTCCAAAAACTTACTTTTATTAAGTTATGCTAATTTTTTTTGGCATGATTTTTTTTTTGGCCTCGACGCTTTAAAAATCACTTTTTGCTTGGGTCTTTTTTTAGCAATAGCGACACTGTTGCAAATGTAATGAAAGTGACCTTATCGAGCATGCAATTTCAAAGTATTGTAAAGTTATGTCTGATAAAGAAATATCTGTGTAAATATCGATCTTATTTAATTGTGGTTTCCCTGTAAAGTGACTTGCGCATTGCTGCTTCAGAAACAGTACGAGAAAATTGTCAGAATTAAACACTTTCTAAGCTTGAAAAAGATCAATATCTTCCACATTATTGATCAGATAAAAGTTTTATGGGTACAGTTTTGAATCAGACATGTCCCTCTGGGGACAGGTCCCAGTTTTTTTAAACACGACTTGATTGCAGATCAATGTTAGTTTGCGTTAATTTAAATCTTTCTATATTGCTGTATTCACAATATTATGATGTTTTTTTTTAATTTTAAGAATCCTACGAACTAAATTATTTTAACCTTAAATTGGCTTACTTTTGGACATTTTTAAAAATGTTAGCTTTAATTCGTTATCTCATGAAGAATTGAGTATTTTCTTTCGCAAAAAAAAACAATTAAAAGATATATTCCATGTAGCTTGCTTTAGTTTCAGGTTCATCATTATAGACTGGTTGAATATCTAATTATAAATAGTTCAACTTATTCAAACCGATTTAAATTTATATCTATCAAATCAAAAGTTTTCACTTAGTTACATTTGGTAATAGAAGTTCAAATGAACTTTTGAAATCAAATCGGCAATATATTTTTTAAAACCTTGCATCGTAAAAATGGTTTTATTGATTTCTCACCACTTTGATTAATTGGAAGCCGGGTTTTGTCCTGAACATTTCGTTGAGGAATCTCATGACATAGTGACGATTGTTCATACTCATATTGATGCTTTATCTCTTGTGACCCACCGCCAATAAGATCGGACAAATGACCATTTGTGTCAATCAAGGGGTTGCTGCTGCATGGAAGATTGTCCTCAAAGGAACTGTCATTTTTAGTCACATTATCATCAAACATTAAACTAGATGGTGGGGGTGGAGGTGGAGGGGCTTTTGGCCGATTTAATTTTGATTTTTTATCACAATCATTGTTTTGATTATTTCTGTGTCCACCATTTTCTGTAAGGCCATTTTGTGGTTTAGCAGGTTGGATATTATTAATTTGTGTTGGGGGCGGTGGGTCACCAAAGTCTTTCGAAATTAAATCATTTAACCCGTTGTGTTGGAGAATCAAATATTGGAGCACATTGGGTTCCGGCAAATGGTCCGCCATCTTTTCTTTGTTTGATTGCGCGGCAGCCTCGCTCTGTTGTCTTTGCATAATAGAGGAAGCCAAGCGTTGAGTTGGAGAACAGTAAAGAGAGTCCACACGTTCCTAAAGAGTGATCAGTATAAAATATTTTTTTACTTGGCATTAAAATGTCTGTATTTGATAGAATCTATTCACAGAATTCTGATTTCCAATCTGTGCACTGCACTGGTCCAATCACAAAATAAAGATAGACAAACTCCGCAGAACCACAAACTCCGCAAAAGACAGTTCTCCGAAAAAACAAACTTTAGAAAATAAAAAGTATTTACAATTCTTATTTTATTTTAAGTTAGGTCAGGCCCTGTCAGAGTATTGGTTGCAAGGGGGTCAAGAACTGAGGCTAGGAAAAAAGCAAGATGCATAATGATAGGTCTAGTGTAATCATGATAGAACACCTGATATTTAGACCGATCATGTTTTGTGACTAAATCTACATGATTTTGAACTGATCTCTGCCCTATTTCTCCTCTTAAAACAGCGTGAAGGAATGTACACTTTAATGTAGTTTTCTCATTTTTTAGGAAAAATAAATAAATTACACGGGTAAACTAAACTATTCCAAAAGCAAAAATAGGCAGACCACATTTTGAAAATACCAGTACTACGAGTTATACTATGATTATTAACTCAAGAATTGTTACTTCTGAAACACTGTTCACAAATGAATGCCGCATCTTTTTTCAAATATCAAAGAGGACATTCGAGTTTTCTCTCAATTGTCATGTTTCGTGGGTATAATACCTGTGATCTCCACCCCAGGTATGGTTTTCTGTAAGCTGACAGGGTTGCTCCATTTCCTTAAATTATTAGTTTATTGAACATAAAACTGTGTACATCTTAGGGGTGAGACATTTTTCTAAACCCATTTTACAGAAGCAAAATAGTATTCCACTTGGACTTCTAAGACTATTAAAAAACTTTACTTTTCTCAAAATTCATAAATGGGCCCCTTAAATTAGGGATTTAATGAAAAAAAAACTTGAGGAAAAAATCAGAAGTGTTGTTGAAAATATTAATACGAAAAAATTAAAAGTGTTTTTAATATTATTTATTAATTCTGTGCACTCGGATATTGAACTCGGATATTGAATTCCAATGATGTTGAATTTTTTTTTGTAAAAATTGTTCAGAAAACCCTGACGAGGGTCAACCAAGACTGAAATATATTTTTAATAAATGGGGAACTAACATCTACTTTTTTAACTCAACAGAGGTTTGGTCCATCACCATCACCGAATTTTAAATTTTATAGAACTCTTCTATATACATATGTTAAAATTCCATGAATCTCTAAAATGAATTACTAAAATGAAGTACTTAAATCTATAAACGAACCTAAACGGAAATAGGCTGTCAAAAAGTCACTTTTGTTCAATTTCCTATTTGTAGAAATTTCCAAATAAAGGTTTTGGAGCAGGACCAGAATTATATTAATGTGTGTTTAGAATTATATTAATGTGTGTTTTGTAGAGATCACAAACTAAGAATCCACAAGAGATGGAAGGATAAAAATCCGGGAAGGATGAAAAGAGAATCCAGGAGCCAGTCTGACTAGAACCAGGAAGAGGAGAAGATCTTCAAGCTTAATTCTCAACATATTTATAGAATTTGTAATATATTTATATCCTAAGAATATCAGTAAATATATAATCTTCACAGTTTAGAATTATATTAATGTGTGTTTAGAATTATATTAATGTGTGTTTAGAATTATATTAATGTGTGTTTAGAATGTGTGTTTAAAATTATATTAATGTGTGTTTAGAATTATATTAATGTGTGTTTAGAATTATATTAATGTGTGTTTAGAATTATATTAATGTGTGTTTAGAATTATATTAATGTGTGTTTAGATATGTTTAAGAAAGTATGGATTCACCTATTTGCAGAGATTTGATGGAGAAATTGCTGTGACTGGGTGAAGGGTTGGATAAACCGGTTACTCCAGTTCTCCATCCTCCCTGTCTGAATAGAAGTTGTCGACATTTACAAAAAACTAATCAAAGCTAGTTTTCTCAATAAATTTGAGATTTTTAACAAAACATTTTGATGTTTACGTGTCACATGATTTTTGCCATGGATTTTGTTTTAATCGCTCCTTTATCATTTTACCCCGTTTTGGCTTCCATGCATGCACTTCAGCTTGGCCACTTTTACCAACTTTTTCCATTAATTTAAAACATTCCTTTGCATAGCTCTACCACTTGATGGTTCTGCCCAATTGATAAATTAGATCCTTCCCTGAACTGTTCACTGCAAACCAAGATGAGCTTACTCTGACGCAAAAATCGAGGAGTTTTTTTTTTTTGTAAAAATAGGACAAACAAGTGGCGAGAAGGCCAAGGCGGTGAGACACTTTAAAGTCAAGGGTGTCTAAAAATTTGATTAATAAATCTTATAATTGCCTAGCTACAGGGTTTCCATAAACAAAATTTTTGCGCAATTTTTTCGAAAGAAAGCGTATTTTTTTGCGCGGAAAAATAGCACTTTGTGCAATCATTGAAACTTCATTAGGCGCAAAATTGCGCTATTTCGATTTTGCGTTATTCTGTTTTGCGCAATTTTCGAAACAAATTCCCATTAAAAGGTTGTTAAAAGGTGTAAACTGTATAAATTAGTTATTTATGAGATTGCACTTTTTGGCATACAATTGCAATGCATAAAAGTGAACTGATTACTTGCCTAAAACTCTATTTTGCAACCTGATGCATGATGGCACACTGCAAATCAAGAGATGTGCGCACGCTCTCACACAAAAATCGAGCAGGATTTTGTCAAGTACTCCTTGATATTGCAGTGGGTTCGGCTCTGTCCTACCTTGAGTATGTTGGACAGGGTGTTGAGCAGGTTGAACCAGGTGTTGATGGTCTACTCCGCTCCCGTCTCCATCCCTCCGAACTCCTCTCTCTTCTCCATCCTGTCCTATCAGGAATACAAGGAGAACTGCCGTCCCTGTGTCCTTCTCCTTCCTGCGCCCGACCTCTAAATCTACAAAGAAAATCCTATTCTTACTCCTGGTTTAAAAAGATTTAACTTTTACACTTCAAGGAACTCTAGACGTAATGTTTAAGTGACCCTCCAGGCAAAGATGACAACTCCCGATTCATAACAATAATCTTTAAATCTTTGTCTCATCATGTATAGTATCAATGATTACAATTTAAAAAAACTGATTTTTCAGTTGTGATTTGCGCATTTCCAATGCAGGAAAACATAGAAGAATTTAACAAAATGACAATATCTTCTACATTTATCAGATAACGGTTTCAAGGATATCGTTGTGAATTATGCATTGCCATCTTGGCACGGAGGGTCATTTAAAATTACACTTACAGTCGAGTCCCTTAAAAATATTTTAAAATGTTTTGTTAGTTTAATAAGGTTTTTTTTTCTAAAACTGCTATTTATTATATAATTTTGACCTTTCTTATCTTAAACTTCTGGATTTTAAGTAGAGAGGAGTTTTTTTACATAGAGAAACAAACTGGTTTCAAGTCTTTTAACTATGTGGATCATTTTGATAAGGTCTAACACAGTTAAAGGTTTTCTTCTATAGCACGTTAAACTCTATTGTAGAGGTCCTTGTTTAAAGTCCAGCGAGTCCTTAATTTTTAACTCATATTTATCCATTAAATGTGAAATTTTGTTTAGTCGTTATATTATACTTTTTGCTGGGGCTATGTATTTTAAATATATAAGTCTGTAAGGTATTAAATCTTATTATGCATTATTTTTTCGAATTTTGAATAATTGAGATCAATATATGACTGAAAATATTTCGATACAGACAGGTAAAGCACATTAGTGTAGTTATAGTTATACTAGTTTCTCCAGGGACTGTTGAACCCTGCTCTGATGGCTGGTCAGTCTTACCTCATCAAACTAAAATAATAATCCAAAATAAATAAAGTAAAAAAAATTTTAACATGTATTTTCATGAAAAATACAGATGATGACCCAGAATAAAACGGAATAATTGTCGTCTTTGTTAATTTTAGTTTGAACTGTTGTAAACAAAATTTAACAATATTAGTTTTCACACAATTTCTTCATAGTAGGTATACGGTGAGAACCAGAAAACTCTAGAATAGGAAGACGACTTTTAGACTCAATTTTTTACTTTAAATATTCCAATAAATATGATACACAGCTATTGTGCAGTGTACACAGACTCATTTAATTTAATGATTTGATAAGTTATAAAGTAAAACTATTTGCTTTGTAACATCATTAAATACACTAAAGTGTTGCTATAATGTCGTCTTCCTATTCCACATTTTTCTGGTTCTGATACTGTCTAAAATATAAAATTCAAAAATATCATGAAATATTTACCTCTCCTGCTTTTTCTGTTTGGTTTAAAACCTCTGCACTTTGACTCCGGTCCGGAGGAATTGTCGGACATTTTAACATCTGTAATTAGTATTCCGCTAATAACCGGTTTCAAAACAAAATCAGCTGGAAAAAACTTCTAAATCAAATCAATTAATAGCCAGTTAAAAAATAATATCAGTTGATAACCGGTTTGAAAACAAAATAAACTGATAATGCGTTTGTAAAATAAATAAGCTGATCACCGGTTTGGTAGTAAAATCAGCTAGTAACCGGTTTGTAAAGGAAAAATTGGCTTCAGTAAAAATAGAGTGTCATCATGTCAAATCCGGGCCAAGCTTAAAACCAGTTTATGCAGTGCAAACACATTTTTAAATTTTAATGTATTAATTCTGTATTCGGGTTGTAACGAAACATAGATTAATACGACCAATTTTTTTCTCCTCAAAATTGATAAAGCAGTTTTTTTGCCATCTTCTGTAAATATTTATACCAAGACACCCAACCTCAACAAATCAAGGACATTCAAGAGCGATATGAAAGATTCAAATGCATAATTGCATCCTTTGATATTTGTAAAAGCAGACATTTTTTGTATGAAATAATAAAAAATTAGATCTTTAAATGTGTTTGTATTTCTTCGTTAAGCTATAAGGAGTTTAGGAGTTTTGAAGTGTTCCAGTTTTGGAGTCAATAAAATAATATTAATATTATCTTAACTCTTTAAGATATAAAAAAAAACTCATTTTGTCCATTAACATTATAAACATTTCAGCGTAGTGTTTCCATTTTCTTTTTTACACAAACGTACAGGAACCGGGGTTTTGCAACAAACTCAAATTTGTAATCTCTACATCTTTGCAACCGGATATTTCAAACTCAGACTATTTGATCTAACAGAATGCATAGTTCTAACTATCAAAGGTCGGCGACATGGGGTTGAAAAGATAAAGGGATTAAAAATTATAGCGAGTCCTGTAATCTGTGTATTATAGCTTACAGAGCTTAATCTTATCCCTTCATGTAACATCAGCATATCATGTTCTCAATACCATTACACAAATCAAAGCAGAGCTAGATACGTCCGCGGGATATCTATATATATGGACTTGGAACTGAAAGCACCATAGTTTCAGTAGCAGTAAATAATTACATTTACTGATAGCGCCGATTAAAGGATTCATTACTCTGATTGGATATTGAGATAGATAGAAAGATAGATGTTACCGCCAAACTATTTCTATTTGTTCAGAATAGATAACAAACACATGTCTGAACCCTGATTGGATCAGGCGCCAATGGACTTGGCATACAGAAGTGACCCTTCATCCAAAGATGACAGAGCCCGATTTACAAAGGTACCGTTGAAACCTTAATCTGATCAAAAATGGGGAAGTAAGGATCGTTTTCCAACTTGAAAAGTCTTTAATTCTGATAATTTATTCATTGCTCCCTACAAGCAAGAAAGGGGCAAGTCACTTTTGCAGGGGAACCACAAAGGAAAACAAACAATTTAAAGAAACAAAAACATGGATATCTAAGTCATACTTGATCAGACAAAGCTTTAAAGGGTATCGATGAAAATCTGGCATTGCCATCTTCGCATGGATGAATACAATACACATGAACCATATCAAAATGTGCATGAACACTAGAATCAGTTTTAAGATTTCATTAGCACTATTTTCTTTATAACAATACCAAATACAACTAAGTATGCTTAAATGTCGTATTCCTAAACCACGGTTATAATTGTGTCTTTCTGAATTATTTGATTTCTTCACCTAATAAGAATACCTCCTGCACCCCCCTTCCGATTAAACATTTTTTCCCTCCTGCTATTATAGTTGTACTCACAATCAGCATAAATACTTAAAGATACTTTGTGATATTGATATCATTTTATGTATCCTATAATGATATTAATCAGATTACTAATATATATATCTTATATATAATTTATATATATTAGATATAAAACTAGATTAAATGTCCCCTGAAGATTACATTAATATTTACTCCTATCCAGTTGTATAAATTAAATGAATGCAGGGAACAGATACACATTTATATTTGCTTTCAGTAATATATTTTCATTGTAATTTTAAATAAATCTCCATTTAAAAAAAGGAACATGCCTGATTCACAACGGTTCTTTAATCCTTGAAACATTCATCCGATTCAAAATGTGGAAGATATTGTCTATTTCCTAACTCGAAAAGTGTTTAATTTTGATAATTTCTAAATTTTAAATCTAAGAGAGAAATGGGCAGGTCATTTTTGTAGAGAAACCGCAATAAAAAAATCCATTAAAGGGAGAGACCGGCTAAACATGGTAGTTGAGTTGAATGAGTAGTATTGTAGAGAAAAACTTTAGGATTCATTTGATACCAATGAGACATTTTTACGGTGTACAATTTTTAAATAAGAGCGTAGCTTGCAATAATTCACCAGTTGTTTCAGTCAGTAGAAGAAACACATCTATTAGGACAGCTTCAAGAAGCTTCAAAAATGCTACTAGAACAATTAGAACAACTACTACTAGAACCATCAGTACTGATGCTTGCAAAACAGTCTCTCATTGGTCGAATCAGAACCAATCATGACTTGTGTTCTATCTAAGCCCGAGTTTGGGGTTTAGTCGGGTTTAAGCTTTTAAAAGCTCATCTATGGTTTGCTGTCCAATTTGGATCTGTAGGTCATTGAATGAAGTATGAATCTTAGATTATTAAAATTATGTAATATAATTAAATGTATTATTATAGAAATGTCATCTACTCTACGTATGGGAAGTAATTATTTTAATATGTAAATCTTGTTCTTTTGTTTTGTTTTCCCATTTAAAAACTCATAAACACGCCCTTTAAATTTCATTCAGTAATATTGTAAAGAGTTTCAACTTTATTTTGCCAATTTAAATAATTAAACGAACTTGGTTAAAATGTTCAACAAATATACAATATTCGACCTTTGAATAATTTAGATCGTTTATAGTCTATATTTAAATTTAGAATTTAATTAT